ACCGTGGCCTACCCCCTCTCTCGGTGCCGGTCAACTTCCTAGACCGACACCGAGAGAGAACTTTAAAGAGTGTAAAGTAAAAAATATGAGAAGAAGCAGTTGTTGACCGTGGCCTACCCCCTCTCTCGGTGCCGGTCAACTTCCTAGAACGGCATCGATAGAGAACTTTAAAGAGTGTAATGAAAAAAACATGAGAAGAAGTAGTTGTTGACCATGGCCTACCCCCTCTCTCGGTAAGGAGAAGGAAAGACAACCTCTCGGTAAAGGAACACGATGGAGCTGCGCGCGGTAGACTTACCCGTAGGGCATGTCCCTGACTAGGAAGGAGGCGATGAAGGCGGGGTCGTCGATCTCTGGGATGAACGGCGGCGGCTTCCTCTGAAGCACGTCCCTGTGCTCCGGCCCGGCGCGCGGGTAGAACCATAGGATCTTGTTCTGCACCACGCACGGGTAGGACGCAACGCATGCCTTGCTGTTGGTGTGCACTGGCGGGCCGAGCGCGGGGGCCTGGGGGATGAACTTGCAGGCGCCGCGGCCGTCGAAGCACCACCCGTGGTACACGCACTGGAGCCGGCCCTTGTCGTCGATGCGGCCCTCCGAGAGCGGCGCCAGGCGGTGCGGGCACGCGTCGTCGAACACGCCCCACTCGCCGGCGCCGCGGTCGTACCAGGCCACCACGCGGATCCCCAGCACCATCTTGCCGTGCGGCGCGCCTGGGTCCAGGTCCTCCACGGGGGCGAAGGGGTACCACTGGTCCAGCCAGTCGAACCGCTCCTCCTTCTCCCCGGACGCCGGCTCCTGCTCCGTCCACGGCGACTCGGACGCCACGGCCGACGCCGGCAGCATCCGCGCGGCCCCGTTGCGGTGGCGGCGCGCCCGTCGCCGCGGGACGTGGCGGGGCCTAACGCTCGGCGCTGGGACGCCATCGGGGAGCGGAAGCAAGGGCTGGGCCTGGGCGCGAGGGAGGAGTAGGCGGAGGGGATCCATGTCGCCGGTGGTGACCAGCGGGTGATCGATGGCGTGGGTGGAAACGGGAGGGCTTGAGACAGGTGGAATAAACGTCGAGCAGTCAGCGGTGGACTCTGAGCTCCAGATCTATTTACCGGACACTGCCCATGCTAGGAAACAGAGCTCAGGCACGCACCGGCACCATCGAGGAAGAGGATCTTTGATGAGTGTGGAGGCGTCGCGGACGCGCCGAAGACGACTCCGCCAACCTCCATGTCGGTGATCCCGGCGGGAAAGGTGGTGTCTTCCATCACTACGACTGAGTAATTTAGATCAACTCGAGGTTGATGAACAAGGAGCGACACCCACTTCACAGCTTCCTCCTCCTACCGAGCACTCAAACTCTGTTTAAATAGACTCCGCGGCTGCCGTACAAGAAAGGATAATGGTCAACTTGTAGCCCGTGGGGCTCCATTGGCTTTGGATGCACGCTAAAAATATGATTCCGTTTTATTTTGGGTTCGCATAAGGCTCAGCTTACTGAGACTTAGTTATGTCTCGGTCAGCTCACGTCATCACACGTCTCACCTACATAATGGCTACTCCCTCCACCCACGTTATGCCTAGATACCAATGTTTTGAATAGCTGGATATAGAGCTAAGCTATAGCTGTTTGAGCAAGTGCTGCTATCACTACTCAAATTTTCACGTACGTCGGATGTCATACTTTTCACCGAGTGCTAAAACACGGACACTTGACAAAGAAAACTTTGCCGAGTGTCACTCTCGGCAAACCCAGCTTCACGGCAAACTGCCTTCTTTGCCGTCATTGCCTCACGGCAAAGAGGCACCGCACGGCAAACCCTGCAGACGCCGAGAGCCGCTCACGGTAAAGAGGAGCCAGGTGGCATGCCCGTCCGCGACAGACGGCTCCGTCAGTTACTGCGTACATTACCGAGAGCCGCCGTACGACACTCGGCAAAGTATATGCCACATCCTATTTTCTTTTTTTGTGTATGTTCTTTCTAACTGATATGTGGTCCCACTGGTCACATTTATCAGTAAAAGTTTCAAATAACTTGCTAAATATTTTTGAAAATAAATGACGATATCTTTGCCGAGAGCAGCTCTCGGCAATCCTCCTGACCAGTAGGACTGCGTGGCCCACATGGCAGCTGACAATTTACATATCTTTGCCGAGAGCTTGTCTCGACAATGCTCGCCTTCGTTTCCGAGAGCCGCTCTCGAAAAAGGCGTGGCACAATAGTAGTGTCTCCCAGACGACCAGGTTTAGGAGAGGTGCTCTCGGTAGTATATTGTTTTTCGAGTGTTGCTCTCGGAAATCTTTCCCATCCATTCTGCTGTTAAACTATTTCTTTTCTGATCCCTGTGGATAAAAACAACTACAATGCAATTTGGAGTAGTCCACACATATATAGGCATAATTTGATCATATATATGCATAATTTGATCTAGTCCACATATATATATATATATATATATATATATATGCATAATTAGGGATATTCCACATATTGTCACACACAAGTCAAATGTATTATCCCAGTAGATGTCACACACAAGTCGCAAATTCATACATATTGTAACTCCTTGCAAAACACGTGCACGTCACAATAGAAGTACACTTATTCATATATGGATCATCTTGAGGAGGAGAGGCCATCGGGTTAACATTTCGGAGGAGGAGGAGGGGCATCACTTGCACTGCTTCGAGATTGCATAAGAACCAATAAAAATAGAGTCACGTGAGGGTGGTTTGTCCCTATGTAATGAATATTCTACTCTAGTTTAGATAATGTTCTACCTGTAGTTGATACTCAAGCAGCTTCAACCTATTGTTAGTGTCTGCCCGTTCCTTTTCTCTGGACTCCTGCTCAGCCTTCCGCCTTTGCTCCTCTTCAACAGCCCGCTGCGCCATTAAATCCTGTAGCATGGCATTAGGCTCATATAGGTTGGAACGGTGCTATTTCGAGGCATGGACATAAATGAAAGGTTAGGATGCTAACCTTGAGACACGCTATCTCACATGATGCGGCGGTTGGGCGACTCCGTATGGACGGAGTTGAGCTGGTGCTCGACGCGCGTATCTGGTGCAGCTTGCGATGCGAGGAGGTGGCGATCGCCCCGTTGCAAAGGAGGTGGCGGCCATGGCCCTTCCCCTAGCCAGCAATGATGAGAAGCTCAGGATCAAGGGGCTTGGACGAATGTTCAGCTTCCTGCCCGTGCACCTCCTGGAAGACCTCTTTGAAGGTCCCCCACTTCTCCTCCGCCAACTCGCTGCAGAACTAGACGCCACCCTTCCTCTTGTGGCCTTCTTTCCAGGCTTGCAGGATGTGGACTGGGCGACCAACCTTCGCCTCTTGCAAAATTAACCATCAAGTTTAATGAACCAAGATGCATCGTGCGAAAAAGTTAACATCTTAATCCACATACCATGTGTTGCTTGAGAGCGGTTAGGTTCCGGCTCCCCTGGACATGAGCTGGGCCTGTCATTTTGGCTCGATCGTTTCCCTTCTCCACAT